TTACACACAAAGAAAAAAATATTTGTATGTAAGAATATGTGTGTGTGTGTATATATATATGTATATATATATATATATATATATATATATATATATATATATATATATATATATATATATATATATATATATATATATATATATATATATATATATATATATATATATATATATATATATATATATATATATATATATATATATTATATATATATATATAAATATGTGTGAGTATGTATATACATATACATATATATATATATATATATATATATATATATATATATATATATATATATATATATATATATATACATATATATATATATATATATATATATATATATATATATATATATTATATATATATATATAAATATGTGTGGGTATATATATATATATATATATATATATATATATATATATATATATATATATATATAGATAGATAGATATATATATATATATATATATATATATATATATATATATATATATATATATATATATAAATATGTGTGAGTATGTATATACATATACATATATATATATATATATATATATATATATATATATATATATATATATATATATATATATATATATATATATATATATAATATATATGTTATATACACACACACACACACACACACACACACACACACACACACACACACACACACACACACACACACACACACACACACACACACACACACACACACATATATATACATATATGTGTGTGTGTGTGTGTGTGTGTGTGTGTGTGTGTGTGTGTGTGTGTGTGTGTGTGTGTGTGTGTGTGTGTGTGTGTGTGTGCATGTATGTGTGTGTGTGTGTGTGTGTGTGTGTGTGTGTGTGTGTGTGTGTGTGTGTGTGTGTGTGTGTGTGTGTGTGTGTGTGTGTGTGTGTGTGTTGTGTGTGTGTGTGCCAAGTTAGATAAACATCCCATATTTGTTAATTTGACTATATTTAATTCATATACCAGTGCCCATTTCAGTGTGCCATAGAGCCATGAACTATATACAGGTATTTAGGCTACCACGCTATGATATTCATGAATGCATAAATTATATAACTAAGAGAATGGAAAGAGCCAGTTACATCTCATATCCTGGCGACTTCGAGAAAGAAAACGGAATGTAATGATAGAGAAAAAACAACTTTCGTTTGTAGCAGTTTAGAATTACGTGAAACAAACTATAGGAGTTCCTAATTCTGATGGTTTTTCGTTGGTGGCAATCTTATGTCTTGCATTGTGATGATGATAATGACAATGATAGTGATGATAATGGGAATTATTATTATTATCGTCTATACTGTTATGAAATTATTGTTGTATTATTATCATTGTTATTATTACTCTCATTATTATTATCATTATTGTTGCTATTGTTATTGTTATTGTTATTATTATTATTACTATTACTATTATTATTATTATTATTATTATTATTATTATTATTATTATTATTATTATTATTATTATTATTATTATTATTATTATCATTATTATTATTATTGTTATTATCATTATTATTATGATTACTAATTCTTTAATTTGTATTATCATTATAATTATTACTATCATTATTATTATTCTCATCATTATCATCATTGTTTTTATTATTCTCATTTTAATTATCATTATTGTCGTTATAATTATCATTATTAATATTATTATTGACATTATTGATGTTATTATTACCATTATTATCATCATTATAGTTATTTATTATTACTATCATTATCATTCTTATTCTTATTGTAATTGTTGTTTTCATTGTTATTATTATCTTTTTTTTTTTCTTTTTTTTTACCAGTACTGTTATTATTATCCTTATTATCATTATTTTATTATCATTGACAATAATATCAATACTAATATCATTATCATTATCATTGAAATAAATATTATCATCACCATTATCTTTACTATTATTGTCATTATTACTGTCATTATAACTAATACCATTATAATCAGTTATTACAAGTATTATTAACATTCTCATTATCACTTTTACCTTAAACGAAGACGAAATATTAGCGCCCCACTGTGTTCATATATTTGCAAGAATTAGGTAATTAACATTATTAATTTCTGTCAATGATTTCTGTCAAACTAAAAATAATGTCAAAGATCAGTACTGATTTGCTGTGAAATCCAGGCCTTATTATTTTACTTCTATGAATAAAAAGATAACTGATAATAATTTTTGATGAATATCGAATATTTATGAATGCTCAATGTAATCCCTAAGGAAAATTAATTAGGTGATTAATATGAAGGATTAATTATACACGATATTTTTTTTTTTTATTTGTTGTTGTTGCTTTCATAAATACAGCAATAAATTTCAAATTGTAAAAAAAAATCAACATAATAGAACACATGATTTTTTTTTAGATTTTGTGAATTTTTGGCTCATTTAGGCAAAAGTGGAATATAAGATAAGAAGAAAAAAAAGGTGAAAAATGACGCAGAAATATAAAATTTGATCATGTCATTAGGCTAATACTTGTGTTGAGAGATTGTGTAATTTTATATCTATATATATATATGATCATATACTAAAAGCATTTAAAGTATTTAAAACTGTAGGGAAACAAAAATAAAAATAAAAACAAAAAAACAATAGAGCGGCATTTCAACGCACTCTCAGGTAGTGCAGTTAGAGGCTATTTTTGTAATTATGTACAGTTCTTGATAGGGTAAAATGGCCTTTATTTAGGCCGTTATAATGTGACCTTAAGTGTTTGTTATATAAAAAAAAACTATAACTAATGAAATAAAATGAAATAATAGATCCTATTTGGTTTCCTCTGACCCATATTGATTGAACCTCTATAGAAAGTATCTATTTTCTACTAATTATCAATATTCATATTCATGTTTTAATGTATACTTACGTCTTGACTACTTTTTTTTGAGTGTTTTGCTGAATTTGGTCGTAAAACAAAGGGAATGCAGTGGTTTGATTTTAATGGAAAAAAAACAACATGATCCATTGTTTTCCTTCCTTGCTAGATTTGGTATCCCGGCAATTGCAGGTAAGACTGGCAAAATCCTTGCAACGTAGCATTATGATAAATGATATACCAGGAGGGCAGAGACTATGTGTGGAAATTTTGTACATAACATACGAGTTCTATTTCTTTTTAAAAACTGCTATATTTTGTCTTATAGCATCTCTATTTTGAAAGGTAACTTTAGCTTCCTCGTGGTCAGCTCGCTCTGGTAACCTAATACTATTTTGTTACAAAGTACAAACAATAGAATCCATTGTTTCTAACTTTTAGTTCATTGATTATTAGAAAATACAGTTATCTCGGCATTGTAACATTACTCAGACACGAGAAACTGTAGTTATGGCATTTAATAAATCGATGATGAAAAAAATATAAAATGTTTCATTTCTTTTATACCTTACTTTTCATAATATTAAGATAATCTAGACTTGTTTTTCTTCCTCTCCGGAAATCTGAAGTCGACGCATTATAAGGCACCGAGCGGAAGATTCTCATATAATATTCCTTTTGGATCCACGTTTAATTGTTACGTTATGTAATCTAGTCATTTTTTTTCGTCCTTTTATCGGAACAGAAATGCGTGTGGCTTCGTAAGTCATCGATGGGTACATATAACTGAGAATCCATACTAGTGAGTCAGCGATAACAAAAATAATAATGATTATAATGGATAATGGTGGCATTGATAGCGATATTGTAAATTTTGCTGAAGTTATGTGGAATATTAAAGGGAGCATTTTCCCTCCAGGAACGTCCGGTCTGCATATCATGATTCTTTTTTTTTTCTTTTTTTTTTTGGCCTGTTTTATTCGCTAAAGGATTTAATCTGCATCTCCCTCTCCCACTCTCCGTATTTCTTTCTCAGTCCTCACCTTTTATTTCCATCGTCATATCCTCCTCTTCTTTACTTTTTTCCTTTAACTTTTCTTTCTCCCTTTCCTCTACCGACCACTTCACTGTCCTGTCTTCATCTTCTCTACCCTCCCTTCCTTTTTTTTGCTCCCCTTCTCCTCCTTTCGTCTTTTCTACCCTTCCTTTCTTTCCCTTCCCCTCCTTTCGCCCTTCCCTCTCTCTCTCTCTCCTTCCCGCCCCCCATCTCTCTCTCTCTCTCCTTCCCTTCCCCCTTTCTCCCTTCCCTCTCTCCCTCCTTTCTTCCACTCCTTACCATCCCTCTCTCCTTTCCTTCCTCCTTTCACTCCCTTTTCGTTCTCTATCTCCTTCCCTTCCCCATCCTTCCCTGCTTCCTTTCTCCCTTCCCTCCCTCTCTCCTTCCCTTCCTCTCTCCTTACCTCCCCCCTTCTCTCACTCCCTCCTTACCTTCCTCCCCCCCTCCTTTCCTCCCTCTCTCCTTCCCTTCCCCCCTCCTTCTCTCCCTCCCTCCTTACCTTCCTCCCCCCCTCCTTCCTTCCCTCCTTCCTTACCATCCTCCCCCCCCCCTCCTCCCCTTTCTCTGTCCTTTCCTTCCCTTTTCTCTCCCTCCCTCCTTACCTTCCTTCCCCCCTCCTTCCCTCCCTCTTTCCTTACCTCCCCCCCTCCTTCCTTTCCCCCCTCCTTCCCTTCCTCCCCCCCTCGTATATCCCCACTAAACCATCAATCCTTTGTCTCGACAGCCTTACTTTTATTTCAACGTGAGAGTCAGTTAACGTCATGTTTTAGCGTTATTTTTTTCCATAACAGATACGGTCCGTGCCCAGCGACACCCTATCCAGATATGACGTGTGTCCCGTAGTGATCTGAACTTTACGATCTATTCCTAGGTGGATAGTGTGGATAAAGTAAAGATTCAGATCGCTATAGATTCAAACTTGTGTAATGGGAAGTACAGTGCAGAAGTAATGTGTGATTTCCATATAGTTCAGCTGTCGACTCTGATAGATTTTTCTTTTTTTTTCCAACGCTCCAAAAGAAAAACTTGATGATCTTTATATAATGTGTTTCCGCAATCGCTGAGAAAATAAATTGGC